TTTGGGATATCCTATCGTCCTTTGAACGGTTTCCATACAACGAAAATAATTCATTTTATTTATTATACAACCCCTGCGTGTGCGACAAAACACTCACACACACACACACACACACACATCCGCGTAGATATATATTATTTCAAGTGACTGCCTAAAAACACCTTTGTTCGTTTTCTTAACACAAAAATAACACACGCTTACACGATGACATGAATTCGCCCAGCCCCTGCCAGAATGTGTATTGAATCACCTTCGATATCTGCTACACACATTATTGTATCGGTCGGCATTATTATATTATTTATGAGGGTGACATAAATCATCGTACCTGACAAAATATGCGTATATACCTTGGTAGGTACCAGCTTGTTTGACAAATTATCATCGATCAATTTTTGTTGTTATCCCGTGTATGGCACTCACAGATTCGTGTAACATCTCACCCCGCCCAGGGATGGCATACATAAAATATAATTGTGAAACCTAATATTATGGCAATATGCCGAAAATTATGTTATACAATATAAGTATACGTCCTGTTTATCGAGACAATGTATTTATGGTTTTTGACACGACTTAATATTATTTATACAAGTATACATTAACTGCAATAGTTGATGAAATCAAGTTATGGCTGCAGGTACACTCTAGATTATTTTATTGATAAACTAATAAGAGCCTGCTGCAGGTAAGGGATACGAATTTCCCGAAGAAAAGTTCAATAAAACGCAATCACCAAATGCAACATTGTATATGAAAATAAACTATATTAATATTTAAAGTAAGAAACTTTTTTGTTTATATATTTCAATACATTGTAGCGTTTATATAATATTGTATATATACCTACGTGGCTATGCGTGTAAAGATGAATTACTTATTTTTCCAGTTTATTATAATATGCCTTATTGGAAGTATAGAACTATCAATGTTAGTTATTACACATTAATTACTACTTGGTATTTAATTAGACGGTTTGTTTTATCTACCACGAATAGACAGATGCTGCAACTGTTCAAAATAATTATGTAAGAATAATATGTTTAGTAATGTAAATTACGCCTAGTTGTTCAGCGATCTATGAATAACATCATACTGTTGAAGATGTATTATATGATTAACATATTATATTTTCAAATTAAATTCTTATAAATTATACATGATACGTTGTACACAGTGGCGTAATACCTATCATTGGCGACGATAAGAGTAGTAGACCGTAGAAATGTGCGACTATGCAAGCGAAGAGCAGACATATATGCCACCATGCGTTATGAATCTTTTTAATATGTTTCTCCAAATTCGGTAGAATAAGAATAATTATAAACGCGCACATTTTTAAAATATGGTGTGGTAAAGATACATCTTATACATTATACATAAATACATAATATTATAAAAATATAGATAAAATTGGTCTGTGGATATGTTTCCCCGAGCCCGACACCTATAATAATGCCCAACAACCTATTTGCTCGACATAAAGTTTCCGACAGCACATTTTCACATAATATTTTTAAAATTTTACTTTTTCTAATGACGATACGTTTCTGATACGTTTTAATTCCAATGCAGAATATAGCACGAGTACTTGGAGTTATTATATAAAAATCAAATTTTGGAAACGAGTGTTTTATAAGTCACTAGTTTAGTTATTACATTTTGCGTTGTACCCCTAGCTCTGTCACTCCACACCTCTCGCGTGTCAAAACTTTAAACACTTATCGACAACTCGTCCGGAATTTGAATTTTCAAAACTATTATATATCATAATTATCAAAATCTTACTGTTTCATTTTGCTTTGAAATATCGAATCAAAAATGCATGTTGTCATCCGAAAAAGCAAAGAAAAAACTTTTAAAAAAATATAACGATTCAAATATAATTTTTTTTTTTCAAAAATGGTGTTTTGTAACGTCTTAAAATTATGTAGGTATAACAAAAAAATTGTTTTAAAAACTTAAAAAGTTTTTTTGAACAATGAGTATTTTTCAATAAAATAATCACCACAACAATATGTAATGTATAAATGTATAATATTTTGCCTGGGAATCGATTGGGCGCTATTAACTATACTGTTATGTATGTGATAAGTACGCGACTTGTCGTCTCAAAACCGTAACCGTTAGCTTACCATCGTCTAAGGTACTTAAGACATCGTGTTACAAACTCGCAGATATTACTTATAATATTATATCTAATAAGTTATAATGATATTGTTATTACGAGTCTGCATAAAGATAACCGGTTACCTGGTGTAAGTGGTATTGTTGCAAGCTCAAGAGCAATTCAAAGGCATGTACACCGTTGACGTACATAAATGGTTTGTACAGTCTTTGAATAGTGTGTCTGTGTAGGTATACATTTGGTGTAGTAGTATATACATTATATGTATTTATTGTACAAATTATACAAATTGTCAATATTAAATCACATAGGAGGTTATGTTAGGTTATGTTAATCAATTTTTTTTGCCAAACAGTACATAGGAGGTTCTTTGAGTAATAGTTGGTGTCAGAGAAATATGTACTAAAAAAAAACTAAGTTGCGTTATCTAAGAAATAAAAATGTATTAAAAGATTATTATTGTATAAAATACTTAGCATAATAAAACAAAATAACTTTAATGTCATTTATGAACATGGAAAAATCTCAAATGTACATATTATCTACTCTGCATGTAGTTAATATCTTCAATGTAATTTTTAATCACATAGGAGGTATTTCACATATTAATATATATTTCGTTAATTCATATATGTTTCATTAGATAGCACATTGGAGTTTTTACCAAAATGACCGCCTATTTTTTCTGAATCCAGGAATACCAATACCTCAAAATTGCAAATTTTGCACATAGGAGGTTTTTTGATGGCAACAACGAATTTAATTGAGCTAGCATACACATAAATGTGTATACATTTTAGAAATTTGCTTAAAGTCTCTGTTAAACAGAAAAAGTTATTTTCATTTTGTAATTTATTACAAAGCGGCGTTATTCAAGAGCTTGAAAGCACCACGCCGACGAGCTATTTACCGCTTTGACGTACAACTGTCTGCTGTTAAAAGCATAGTTATCGGAAGCCCTCAAATTGTATTTTACACCGGAGTTCGTCAAGAATCCTTAGGAAAATATTTGGTTTCTTACATTAAATTAGGTACATAATTTTTTGTTGTATGCTAGAAAAGTCTTCTTCTTTTATCTATAACTATTTTAACCCATTGTGTTACAATACTGTCACTCAATTCTTAAATTTTATCTCATATATTTACTATTTTATTTTAAAATGCATGTAGGATTTCTAAATTCTATTTTCTAATAATCAATTAACATAAAAAGAAATGTCAATAATATTGTATTACCAAATAGTAATAGTTATAAATTATAATATATTATACTGAATTATATTTCATTTTTGTTTATAATTGAACACAATTGCAGTTTTATTTAATTATACATTTTAATTCAGAGCAAGAGTATAGTACCAATGGCTATACAAAGCATTTTTTTTTTTATCAGCTCGTTACATAAAACCTAAGCTAAATTGATTATAATAATTAAATCACCAGTTTATTGTAACTGAAAAACGTTTATTACGCAACTGCTGAATCGAAGGTATAAACTAAATTTATTTTAGTTTTTAAAAGCTTGCAAGTGTAAAAATGTAGATTTCTTTTAATGCACTATGTTGCAGTTTAACGCAGTTTATCCATATAGTAATTTAATATCATGTTTATGTACGATACAATTATTATTAATTATAACATTAATTATGAGAAAAAGAATCATCATTTTTATTAATGTTATTCGATTATTTGAATATGGTTCATTATGTTTTAAAATAATACAACTGATTATAGGTACTGAAATAAAACATATTTTCTCAAAATGATTGAAGTACTAATGTTGTTTCCGCCTAATAGCCCAATCCACCTTTGACTCATTAGATTCATGTTATTATTGTTTGAAAGATAAATAACACCGTTTATACATTTTAAATAGGTACAAACAAAAAAAAACTCATAGAACACTTTTAAACTTATGAATTAAGTAGAAGACTAGAATTAAGTATATAAACATAAAAGTACCTATATAATATTAGGCACATATTATTTTAAGTACATAACGTGAAAAAAATTAGTAGTTTCCGCATGAAAACAATTTGAACATTTTAACTTAAAATATGTTTGTTTTTGTGTTTTATAAAAAAATACTTATCAGTTTTTAATTGAATCCAGACACGAACAAAAATACAAAAATAAGTATTTTCCATCACAGCTATAGAATTAATAATCGTCATATCTATTATTGATATCTATCTTGATTTACCTCACTTTATTACCTACATTTAATATAATGTAAAATAGTGTAGACAATTCATTTTTAAATCAAAAATAATCACAAACAAAATATAAACGTCGTTCGGGGGACGAGGTGGCCGAGCGGTCTAACGCGTCGGCCGCGGCGCTGGCAGTCGAGGGTTCGATTCTCGACCACAGGGCGGCATTTTTCTCCGGGCAAGTCACGGTGTCCGGAAAACAAGTGCCGCCATCCCCCCACTCCGGGGCATGGCAGAAACCTACGGGTGCCCTAATAAAAATTCTGCCACCACAAACACACGTGTTTATAAACCAACAGTTCCCTCCCCTACAAACTAACAAAACAGCTAATGGCCATAGTTGCCGGGCTTAATGATCAATGAAAAAAAAAAAAAAACGTCGTTCCTGATGACGTCTCTAATGAGTCGCGGCACGTGAGATGACCACATCTCGACAACGCGCACCCAGAAATAATACTTTAACGCAGGCATGTGGGACATCTTGCACCAGACGGGCAACTGCCAAAGTGCAGTTTTTTCCACTTGACGTCGTTCTTGCCGTCCACCACGCACACAAATAATACATATCCGGCCACGGTCACGCAGTGGGAATAGGACGAGATTCCGATCCCGCCGTCCCGCTTGAAAGCTCAAAAAATTACAATAATTAACGCGTCCGGTCACGGCATTTCGTCGAATTCTAGAAGCAAGTACAACAACCCGAAATCCAATAGCGGAAACCGATGGGCAACCATGCCATCGTCGACAGCCGCTGAGGCAGCTTTTCCGCAGCGGCGGTGAAGACGGAGGAAGCGTTGGTGGACGCTACCTTCAACGAGGTGAACAAGCGTGCTGTCTTCCCACGTCAGCTCCGCGGTCTCTGGGCCAGTACATAAGTTCGGCTTGAGCATCGGTGGCACCTTCTTCCAAGTGTCTTTGCACACAGGTCATGATGGATCGTCAACCAACGGTGCCATCAGCTTTCATGCCAATGCGTGTTCAACTCGCCACTCACCACCAAAACACCGTTTATGGCCGCGTCCACCAACGCTTCCTCCGTCGTCGCTTCTGGCAACCTGACTCCGTGGTCAACGACAGCCCACCCCTCGATTTGCACTTGGACTTCGGGATGGCTAGTTGTACATGGTTTCTAGAAACGCTAGGGCCAGAAGCGTCCATTATTGATACTGTTTGAGAATTGAGGCGTCGAGCTTCCATGTTGAATTATCACAATTTTATGTTATAGACTACATGGTAGAAATCAGAATGACAGAAGAAAACAAACTTTTCATAATACATTCAATACTATGTGTAATAATTACTTAAAACGCATTGCTGTGGAACATCTTAAATCTGTTAAAAAATAAATAAAACCCATATTATGGTATAGCTGGTATAGGACTTTTATTTTAAAACTAAGTAGTGAGTATAACAATAAAGAAAATAAATTACCGTAAAAACTGAATAATATACATAAACTTGAATAGGTATACTATACACTCCTTCACGGCATCTTTCACGGCACGCACGATATATAGTATCACTGCAGTGCTTGGGCACCTGATTCAACTTACTGTATTACTACATTTAACTTACTAGGTAATAATAAGTTATTATTAATAACTTATTCATAATAACTGATAGGTAGTGAAATAAATTATACTCTAATAGCAATAATATCGTAAAATGAACTTAGTACTGTAGGTTGTAAGCATCTTTGCTTAGAAACGTTTAACGTATAAAATGATTATATTATATTGTTTGTAATAGAATTCAAATCCAACACATCTATTACAGTGACCCACACGAAAAGAGCGGTACAGCCGAGCGATTACCACTTGCCCATATCTTTTCATTTTTGAACTTGAAATTAAAAAATATTTTGTGTGAAACTTCAGGGTTTTAATATGAACAAATAAAAATATTTACTTTTCATGAGCTCCTGACTCCTGTATTTTAAACTAACACAGATTTAGAAGTTCCTGACGTCTGTAATATAATTTCATCTCCGCGTCAAAGCTCCGCTTAAACCACGGCACATGGTCGACGGTACTCACCGCGTAATAACACTTAAGGCCCGCTTGCCAGCGAGACACACTGTCGGGACGAATGGCAATTTTGCGCATCTTTCTCCAGGCCTATCAAGATACATACAAACAGTTTGAATCGATAGCGTCTGTAGTAGGTAGAGTACTGGGGATGTGACCTGATACTAGTCACGTCGTACCGCATCGGATCTACCACCCCCCATGTCGGTGCACACTGTTAGCTTAGGAAAAGGTGGTGCCTTTTTCCAAGCTACATTGGACTGTAGATAAGTGCGCCACGGAAAACTCTAAATCGGTAGCGCTGGACCACCGTCGGATCTTCTGGTTGCATTTCCGACTCACCACGTACAGCTGGCACCCTAGGCATGGATGGCCAGGCTCACCCAGTTGATGGCTGCGTCTACCGACGCTTCTTCGGTTGTCTCCACTGCCGGCGCCCTGGGCAAGGTGCAGATGAACATTGTGGTTCTATAAACGCAAAACTAATAAGATTCAACCCTTCAAGGCCAATCACTTAGCTCTTTTTCACTTAGCTCACTTTGGTTTTACTTTTATACTTTTTCAAAAAATCTAAAAAAAACTTAAAATAAGCAAGAACATAAAATATTAAACCCACAAAAAATAATACATTTTATTATTTTAACAGGAAACTTTATAGGAACATACTTATTAAATAACGTCGTACAAGTTACAACTATAAGAATACTGCAGGAATAGTAACTCCAATTTTTATGGTAACACATAATTACAAAACTACGAAGACCTCACAAAATCTGTCACAATCTTTCTTTCCCTTAGTTGTATATGTATAATTTTTTGCTATTTTTGACTTAGTATCTTTAGCAAATTTATGTTTTACCAGCCAACTTTAAACATAGTTTTCAAGATTCCAAGTTATAATTGGGGGTCTATATTTTATATTGATAAACATTAAATTAGCATTATTATTTATAATTAATCGTGAAAGAAGATTGGTACAAATACAGCATATTATTCACAAGACTGATCCCTCGTTCACATTCAGCTGTCAAACATGGAACTGTCTTAAGACAATTGTATAACTCTTACATCAATTGTTTAGAATCAAATAATAACAAATAATATAAACGAATATACCGATTAATAGTAATTATATTAGTAAATTAGTATAATTTATAAAGATTGCTTAATTTTTAAATCACATGCTGTGTATTTTTTTTTTAATGATTTAAGGTATACGAGCATATACTTAGGAATGAGCACTATTTTTTTCAGAGTGTACACTAATCCACTAAATGGTAAATGGGTATACCTATGCCGTTTATACCCCCGTATACCCCTCCAAAACGCCACTGCAGTGGTGCAAGACGAAACGCCATCACTGCGAACAACGATCTCAATGAACGCCATTGTAGTTGATTTTTTAGCTTCCATGTCTGTGATCACAATACAAAATATTATGTTTTACGCAAGACTGTAGAAATATTATGATCAGTCACCAGTAGACAATAACATTTTTACAATATGGGTACTATTTATTCCTAGACGTTACAATATTACTAAGAAACATGTTAACGAGGAAAATCTTCGATCTGTAATAAATTGTCGTGCTTTTGATGAATTTATTAGTATACGAAATTTAAATTCTTACCAAAGAAAGTTATTAGTACTAAAGCCTATACAGCTTTAATATTTTTAACCTGCTAATATAACCACTTATGAAGAAACTTGTGTTAAATTTCCAAACAGCTGTTATCTAAGGCTATTCGTTATTAATTACAACAAAATAAGAAAATCGGTCCATGAGGATTCGTTGTTTATCCAATGTCCAAAAAATGTGATATTCAAACACTCATAACAAATGTATTCGACTATAAATAAACTTTTTTATTTTCATTAAAGGTATAAAACGTTGGACTAGTTATGAGGAATATTGTATTTAATTTTGAAACCTCAGATTTAAAATTAAATTTTCTGGATTTCGACGAATATTGTCAAAATTCTAACTTCAGAAGCTCATACAACAATCGTTTGAATTCACGATTTTTTTTTTAATTAAACTAATAACAGTCGACAATTTTTTTATTGATAATAATTCAAAAAAAAAACTATAAAAATTCGAAAATGTCTTATGCTTATAAATAGCTTTAAAAGAGTAGAAATATTTTATTGGGCTTAGAAAATACTGATCTATGGTTATTATTTGTTTTGTTACACTAAAAAACCAAAATCGATTTGAGTAAAAATTACCGTTTTCAATTAGTTTGTTTTTTAAAAACTACTGGATATTTTAAATTTTGAGTTCTCGAATGCACCAATTAGATTAACTTTCCCACCAAACAAGGTACTACAGGTAAAAATTGAAGTATTATATTTCGACCACTATAATCGCACACGCGTTACACAAACACAAAAATACACAAGTTATTGCAAAATCAATATTATATTTATCGCTCCGTTCATAATCTAAAAATAAAAAAAGATTAAGTTCTCTGATTAGTTAATAAACTTTAAAAAAAATTAAAAGTTTTTATTTGCATAATTTAATTTTTTACTTTATCATAGAGTGTATATTTGTAAAGTTTTAGAAGTTTAGACGTTTAGTTACATACATATCTAGCAAGTGATTACTAATACAATATGATCTTACGACCTCTGAAAATAAGTCACAAGAGCATGATGAAAAATATTTAAACAATACCTTGCAATTTGCCAAGTTATAAAGCAGGTAACTTATCTTCTATTATAATTTTCGATACCTACCTATTATAATAACTATGTTATCTATTCCGATGCTACACGATTGCAAATTTTACCTTTTTGATAACACGATTGCGTATAATATTATGATTATCGGTGGATAAAAGAAATAATATTTTATAGGTACTTAAAAATTAAACTATTGCGAACGATTATTCGAGTTACGTTGCTAATTGTAATGTTATATAATATTATGGTTGAATAATATAGAAACTATTGTAAATTTTACATAAAGTTTTAAATACTTACGACTGTTAAGTTTATAGTATGTGTTTTATAGACAATAATGAAATAGATTATATATATCTAAAACTATAGCAAAAAAACGATTTATTAATTAATTGTGTTGAGTATTTGGCATACTTACTATATAGCCACTAGTAAGGTAACTTAAGTAATTCACCTCACTTCACTCACCAGAAATATTTGTCAACTGATGTATCACCAAGGGCGAATGTGTCTAACTAATACATTATCATTACTATTTTGTGATCAGTAACCCGTCGATATCGGAACGTTGCTATAAAAGTTAGCAGATAAAAATGTCAAGAATATGAGTTTTATGCTTTTTACGTATACACTATACAGAAGGTATAAAACAATAAAATGGAAAGCATGAACACGTTCACTTATTATACTTATCTAATTAGTATATATTTTATACATAAATATTATATAGGTATACGTAAATACGTTATAAGTGTAAGAAAAATGTGTATCTTTTGCTAGTAGCCATACGGTTGGCGATTGAACTGTTAAATTAATTATTTTATCGAACAGTTATAAAAAATAAAATATATCAATGATCATTTTTATAGGCTGGGAACCTGCAAATAAGACAATCCGTAAAATGTATTTGATTGTCGCGTCACGCAAAATAAGTTATTCTAATGTTACGATGTATTCATAGTACTGAATACAACAACAGGTGATGAAATATATAGAAAAATTGACAACTGTAGATAGTATTATTTTGTAGTATAAAACTACCCTATATAGCATTTTTAACCAACCATTTAAATTATATAAAAAACATTTTTTTCACTTGGTATCGTCAGAGTTAGCAGAGTTAGGTATGCTCAAAAAATTTGTAACTTTCACTTTTTAGGTAACAAAGCACACGTTTTTCGGTTCTTTTATACTGAATTTTCTATTTAAGCCTATATATTATATTTATGTATCAATATAATATGTTTCAGTAATAATATAATTATAGTTGAATAAAATAATATATAATAAATAATATATTTGATAGTAAATCATTATGCATTAGTGAGTGTATACACTCTATAGGTACTACCATATACTATATAATTTACGGTGTCCGTTTACCTATGTTTATCATATTATTATATTATATACGAGTACTACCTATATAAGTGGACATGACAATAATGTCAGTGTATAA